GAAATGCTCAGAGTCCAAATACAGAAGCACAGGGGAGAATGGGCCAGCTAGTCCACCAAGAAAGAACACATTCTGTAAATGAGTTAAAAAGGAGAGATGGCTGCCTATTTATAAAAACCCTTGGGTGAAAAAATCCCTTAGGGGCCATGGTGAATACTAAGCTAAAGTTAAGTAAACAACACCGGGCTATTGTGTCAGCCTGGCTTCCCTGACCATTTTCCTGGCTGCTGCCTGCTGGCCAGGCTTCTAGTCTCTGGGTAAGCTCGGGCTCTGACTCACTTCCCTGGTGGCTGAAGGCCTGGGGGATTGGGACATTGGTGCATTTGTTTCTCCTCTCACAGGAGGCACAGAGTTGAGCACTATTGGTTTTAAAACAACCTATTTGAGTTTTTCTCCCATATTTATTTTGCTTGGCTGACTCTATTTCATGTGCGCACATGCGTGTGTGTGTGTGTGTGTGTGTGTGTGTGTGGTGTGTGTTCCTAGTGGAACGTGGGGCACATCCAGAGAGGAATAAGGCTCCTTAGGGTCTTCTTCTGTAGGATGTAGGAAGTCCCTTGGTGGCACAAACGGTTAAATGCTGGGTATTAGGCTACTAGCCTTCCAGAGGCTCCTTGGAAGAAAGTCCTGGCAATCTGCTTCTGAAAAGGTCACAGCATGAAAGTCCCAGGTAGCAAAATTCTACTCTGAAACACATGGGGTCACCATGAGTCAGAATCAACTCGATGGCAACAGGTTTGGTTTTTCTGTAGGACATACTGCTGTATTATGATTGCCAGTGGCTTACCCAAGTTCAGAGACTTACCTTTAATAACTCCCAAAGTTGTCTTCTCATTTAGGAATTAAAGTTAATAACATATTAGTCTAGAATGACTGAAGCCACAGAATAAAACAAATTTTCTCAATTTAAGCATAAATAAATAAGGGCTACAACGAAAATGGTATGATTAGAGTCTTCATGCTCAGTCCTTCCTTACTGTTATTGTTGTTAGGTGCCGTCGAGTCAGTTCCTGTGTGCAACAGAATGAAACACTGCCCAGTCCTGCATCATCTTCACAATCCCTGTTATGCTTGAGCCCATCATTGCAGCCACTGTGTCAATCCATCTCATTGAGGGTCTTCCTCTTTTTCACTGACCCTCTACTTTACCAAGCATGATGTCCGCACTGAGGAGGTGGTAAAACTCCCTGAGCTAGTTGTGGCTGTATGAAAGAGCTCTGTCCTTGAGCAGGTCAGAACTTCTTCTTTAACTTCTAACCCTTTCCTGTGCTTCATCATGTCTATACCCTTCACTGTCTGCATTAATATTAAATAACAGTTGCAGATAGTCTCAGTCTCTTCATCTGTCCTTGCTTAAAATTCCTGTTAGTAGCCAGTCTTGATTAACTTTATGTCTAAACTTCAATAATGCTGGAATTTCAGAACACTTTGTCTCTTTAAGGATTCTTGGGGGCACAGTGGTTAAGAGCTCGCCTGCTAACCAAAAGGTTGGCAGTTCGAATCCACCAGACGCTCCTTGGAAACACTATGAGGAAGTTCTGCTTTGTCCTGCAGGGTCGCTATGAGTTGGAATCAACTGGATGGCAACGGGTTTTGCCTCTTTAAATGTATTTTTCAAAATGTCATGTCTTCTTCTGTCATGTCTTCTTCCTGTTGACTGTTGGAAATTAACCTACATCATTATCCATATGTCTCTCTCTCCACTTTGAGCTGAGCGTGTTTGTTTTCTGTGTGGCAAGAAAGGAAGGGATTTTATGTTCTCTGGATTTTTGGTGTGAAAAGAGTAATTCCTTATTTAAACATAACCTGAAAAATGTTCTCCTGTTTTGAAGAAAGCTATATTTATATAGCAATATCACCCACTATTTCAGTCCTGGCCACCAGGTAAACCCAATCCAAACCAAACCTGTTGCCATCAAGTTGATTCCAATTCATAGCCACCCTACAGGACAGACTAGAACTGCCCCATAGGGTTTCCAAGCAGTGGCTGCTGGCTTTGAACTGCCGAACTTTTGGTTAGCAGCCGAGCTCTTAGGCCACCACATTACAACAGCTGAATGTACTGGTGTTCAATATGTTGCATCCACTGTTGGGGAGGTCGTAGTAAACTCCTGCTCTGCCTTTGAGTTGGTGACAGGACTTTGCATCATACTCTGCTGTCAGAATTCCTTTTCTTGTGTGTCCCTGCAGGCTCTTAGCATCCTATTGTTTGGTATTCTGGCCCTGGGTCCTGCTTTTATTCCTCTAGCCTAGATTACAGTCTGTGATGATTTTGGGCTTGAACACCAATGGAGTTGGCTCTGCCAATTATCAGCTCTTTGACTTTGGGAAAGTTACTCAACATTTCTGAGTTTCATTTATTATTATTATTATTTTTTTGTCTATGAAATTGTAATAATAACACATAATTCACTGAACTGTTGTGAAAATAAATGAGACTATAGAATTTGGTACCTGGACTATAGTGGGTTTTCCATAAATCTAAACTATGAGTATTATTATTATTATTATTGCTTGGTTGTAACTTAAAAAAAGTTAAATACTTCTAAGGAAAAGAAAAAGGTTCAACATAAATAAAACTCTTACTGAGCTGGGCTACCTTTTTGCTGGGATCTGGTTACCAGGTTACTGGCTTAAGCCTTCCACTCTGATTTTCTTGGCTTCAATCTCCTTTGGTTATCAATAGTGACTTCCATTTGCAATGGGTCCCTGAAGCACCTCAAGGTAGAATTGCCAGGAAATGTGGTCTTCCCTGTGTGTCTCTCGCTTTGAACATCTCCTAGGACCCTTGATGACTCGACAGTTTGGTATCATTGTCTCAGTTACCTCTAGACGAGTAGTTCTCAAAATGGGGTCAAAAGATCACCTGCATCAGAACAATCTGCAGTGCTTAAGAATGCAGAATACTCTCCCCCCACCCAAAACCTCCACATACCTACTAAATCAGAATATCTGGTAGTGGGCCCAGAAATGTGCATTCTGCCAGGTTAGAATTGCCAGATAAAATACAGGTTGCTGTTAGGCTTGAATTTCAGGTAAACAACAAGTCTTTATTTTTTTGTAAGTATAAATAGGTTCAGTGCAATATTTGAGACATACTTAAAAAAGTATTCGTGACTTGTCTGAAATTTGAATTTAACTGGGCATCTCTATTTTTAATTGCTAAATCTGGCAAACCTACCCTGGGTGCATAGTAAAATTTGAGAAGCTATTCTAGTGGGATGTTCACAGTATGGTCCCCACTGAGCCCAGTACAGAGGCAACTGTGGTGCTGAAGTATTGATTTTTAAAGAAAGGTATTTAGTGCCTTGTTGGATTGTACAGTGTCACGATCCTACCTATTCCTTACGCTCTTTTCTGTGTCCTGATGCAACTGTCTTTTGGTTTAGGGTGAGCTCTCCAAGTCCCATAGTGTGTGCTCCTTAGAGGCTGAGGTACTCACAGAGAGGACACTCTAGGAATTCTTTGTCTCATACCAACTAGTCCTTGTCAAATCCCCTAGATAGATGATCAGGATAAACCTGGTGGCCTCTGGGACTCCCGTTATCCCTACAGTACAATGCTTTGGCCAGAGACAGACTGAGCAGCCTCTTTCTTAACTTCTAGTCCCCAGATAGACACAGGCATCTTGGCCTTGGACCAGTACAGTCACAGGGTGAGAGGGCACAGAAACACACAGATACATAGAAAGTAGCTCAGCAGCTCAGTTGATTTACTCCTCCCTCTAAAACTGCCACCCCAGTGCAGCACCCTGAAGAGAACCCCTGTGTTCATCAGAGTTCTTTCTACCAGATGATGGAGAGAGGAAGAGAGGACTACCCTCTTTTCATATGATAGTGTGCATTGACAGAACTTGGGTGCAATTCAGGAAGGAATAAATAGAAACTTCCATACAATAGCCAATATGTCTTTGTTATCAGCCAACAACTTTATCTCCTGGAGTATGAGGTTGCAAACTCAAAATGCCTCCAGGGGCTAGGCTGAAATCATAAATGAGTGAAGTGGGAAGGGTGGGGACTCAGGCAAAATAATCCACAATCCAAGAAGGTAGGCCCTTCTTAGCTTCAGCTGATCATGGCTACCACACAGGAGTTTGGGCCCAGTGTTTTTTAAAAATATAGACATCTGGATATTTATGTAAAGTCTCCTTATTTTAAAATGTTGGAAACAAATTCAGAATTTTCATAAACATTGGGTAGGCCAAGCAAAATACCTCTGTGTACCTTATTAGGCTCTTTGGGAAGTCGTTTTTCTAGTTTGTTCTAGAGTATATGCCACAGTGATGAACATATCCTCACTTCATTGAATGAATAGATAATCTCATTGTGTTCAGCTTGATCAGAATTAGAGCCCCAAACTCTTATGATCTAGTGATGAATTTAGGTTTTATATGAACATATAAAATACATTGAATTATTTGGATAGTTAAGTCCTATAAATATTAAAGTGATTAATCAAGACAATAGCTCATTGGGGATATTTGCGTTGTATTTGAAATCAGCCACTGTGCCCCAGGGCTATGGCATGGCCAATCCAATCATGTGGTTTTCATCTCACAGCCAAATAATTGAGTTGTTCCAGTGATCAGAGAGAGCACTTTATGTAGACCTGCCTTCAGGGACACATCTTTTGCCTTGGAGAGCCACTGTGTATTCTTGCATATACATACTAAAGAAGAAAGGCTTAGACTAAATGTCACAACCTTCTCTCCTTGCAAGCTTACAAGGAGGCTTTAGCCATGAGATGTCAATTATTGTAGTGGGCAAATTACAGGTTGGTTGAGCGGCCTGGAGGAAAGGAAATGAGAGTCTTTTTGTTTGTTTGTTTTTTATTCCCTCTGGGGATACAAAAGAATAAGTGAGTCCATATAAGTATCAACATACCTTCACAAGAAGTGACTGAAAAAGCAGAATGAGCACAAGTAAGAGTCTTCTTTTTTTTTCTCAGCAACCTTATTGTACATGGAATAACTAATTTTTTAACTTCTTTAATTTCTGTAGGGGAACAGGGTGTGTGCTGCTGGTTTTGGCTACTTTTTTCATCTTGTGACCAGCAAAACATCGCAAGCTCCTCTTCTCTCCTTTACCCAGAACATTGCACATTCTTGTACAAGGTAACTTTGGGGAAATTCATTTATATTGAGGGTGTAGGGCTTATGATTTAGATGAGATACTCACACAGAGGGTATAACATTTGTCATTTATGTGAGATTTGACAATGCCTCTGTGCAAGAATTTTGGTGGTGAAGGGAAGGGAAAAGAGAGAGCAGTCACTAGAGATGGCAGTAGGACAGAGTGCACCTTTGTGGCTAGAGGAGAATTCAATAGAGAGAGCAATTAAACCTCCAAGAGACTGGGAGCAACTGGCAATGCAGAGCCCCTGGGAGGTTGGAGTGCATGGGCTCAGGAGCTGAGGTGCAGAAAAGGCTCTTTGCCTGGACTCTGTACACAACATAGTATAATTATGTAGTTATATAGTGTAAATATGGAATTATACATCCCATGTAATATGCACAGTCTAAAATGAGGAAGTGAAGACAGGAGAGGATTCAGATAATTAGGAGGAGGATGGAGGGACTTTCAATCATGTTGCCCTCTTTGTTATGTAGAGGGCGCAGGGTCATTGCTAAGAACAAGGAAATGGTAAAACAAAGTGGGATATGGGATTCAAGGAGAATGGGAAAAACGAAGGCTTCAGAGTCAGTCAGGCCCTGGTTCAGATCTGGATTCTATTCCCAGTAAATTCCTTTTTTTTTAAAGAGTCAGATCCCTTATTTGTAAAATGGGGACCAAACTATATTGAAGGTTTGGTCAGAGAATTAGGGATGATTTGTGTAATGTATCTAGGAAAGCACCTGGAACCTAGTAAACAAACAAACAAGAAAACCCAAACCTGTTGTCGTCGAGTTGATTCTGACTCATAGAGATCCTGTAGGACAGAGTAGAACTTCCCCATGGGGTTTCCAAGGCTGTAATCTTATGGAAGCAGACTGCAATATCTTTCTCCCATGGAGCGGCTGGTCGGTTCAAACCACCAGCCTTTCAGTTAGCAGCCCCACTCTTAACCACTGTGCCACCAGGGTTCCTTCTGGAACCTAGTAGGAACTCAATAATTGATAGCTACAAATAATTATGATAATAATAGTATAGTAATACTACTATGATGGAAAATGATAAGGAGAGTGGACTAGGGAGAATTAAAGGTTGCTAAGCAATGTTGAAATGCCAGCTGAGGCTGGGATTAGTACTTAAGTAATGAAATTATCAGTATGATCACGAAGCTTTTATTCAAGAGCTCTCAGGAGCCCTGGGATGTGAAGGAGGAAGGGTATCCAGAGAAGAGCAGTGGGAGGGCATTTCAGGTAGAAGAACAGAAGGTAAAGGGATTGTAGATGCTGGTATCCTGTCTTCTAGGAAGGGGGTGGAGCCCTGGTGGCACAGTGGTTAAGAGCTGGGCTGCTAACCAAAAGGTTGGCAGTTCGAATTTACCAGCCGTTCCTTGGAAACCCTAAGGGGGAGGTTCTACTCTGTCCTATAGGGTAGCTGTGAGTCGGAATTGACTCAATGGCAGTGGGTGGTGGCGGGTAGGAAGGGGGTAAGTGTAGGGGTGGTGTGTGATAGAGTAGCAGGGGATCATGTTTTAAAGTGCTAGACAGAGGTGTCCACTCTCCTAGGGAGGAAGGGGGTGAGCCTAGAGGGAGGCTGACAGAATGACAGGGGATCATGGCAGTCTACATCCTGTTGCGATTCAGGAGCAGGTCACGAAGGGTAAAAGAGTGGAAAGGCTGAGGGGTGGGTGATGACAAGAGAGGGGTCACAGGTCTCAGGTCCACTCTCCCCCATTCATTCCCTTTACTTTTGTATTTTCCAGTGAGAAGCGGGAAACATCGAAATTGGCTGAATTTCATTCTTTGTTTTCTTTTCTAGGTATGGTCTCTTTGTATACCCTAAATTTCAGCCACCATGGAATAATGGCACTGGCCCCACCCTGTTCCAACACTTCACAGTTTGGGGAAGCACAGGTGGTGCCAAGGTAAATGTTTCTTTAGTTATTATTATTAAAACCTTCATTTATTTTCTCGCGGTGATTTACTATGCATCTTGATTTAAAGGGAGGTGATTTGCTGCTTAGGGGAGCATTGCAACATAATCACAGTTTTAAAGAGCCAAAAACATCATAGGTGTGTGTGGACTAGTTGTCAAATGAACCAATTTAAAATCAGAAAGCATGGTTAGTTGATTTCCTTTGTTGGGACTTTTCAGTAGCTCTGATAGAGAACAACAGAATCGTAGAATTTTATAACCCGGAGGGAATGTAGAAGTTCTTCATTCCCCTCTTCTCATCCCCATTTAGAGATAATAAATAAAGATTGTAAAGGGACTTATCCAAAGTCATACAGTTAATCAGTAGCACAACCAGGTACATATTCTAGACTCCAAATATTGTGCATTTGACACCCTAATATCCCAAATAATACATGCTTCAGACTTAAGAAAAAGTGCTGCTCATCATTGGAGCACAAAAATTCTAGCCCAAAGTGCCATTTTTACCTTTGTAAATGAGTAGAATTTCCATTTTTATGAATTCCAGGCTGAAGTGCCATTCTTACCTTTATAAATGAATTGAATTTATATTTTTCCTCAAAAGACACACACAAAAAAGGTTCATGTTCAGTCTTAGTTTTTATTGTTATAATGATTTTCTAGCAATGCTCATTGTTAACAATAACGCGTAGATATTATCCAGGATCACTGTTTGGTGCTACACAGAGGAAATTACATTCGCTTGTTCTCTGTGACTTAGAAATCTAGAGCCAAAGATACATAGATGAGGAAATATGTTTACAGGGAATCTGGAAAATGGAATAAAAAGATAAAATTAAGTCACAATAAGAAAGTCAGACATTTATTTCATATATTCACCAAGAGAAAGAAACTGTCACTAGGGAAAGCACAAAAATATGTAATTAGGGTAGTTAAAAGGGAAACTCTCAATTATATTCAGTATTTTAGTCTCGTTTAATTTTATAAATATGCTGTTTCTATAAGCACTATGGATATGGGGTAACAAATATTCGTTGGATGCCCTCTTATGTGGAGAAGCAATTCATATCTTGTAGGGGATTAAACTCTGTATAGATACTGCTTCCCTGTTCTTGAATAGCCTTGTTCTAGAGGAAATAAACCCAATGAAACTAAATATTAGAAGATGCTACTTGTAGCCATTTCTCAAGTTCTGTAATCAGAAATGCTAAACCTGTGAAAGGAAAAATAGAACCTTACAGATTGAACTCCTGTGTTCTAAATTTAATCATTCAAAAAGCTCAAATAATAAGAATGCTTTTGGAACTTCAGCTCAATAAAATGAACTCTTATTGTTGTCGTTGTTAATAAACAGAATTAGGTGCTGATAGGCCTATGTTGACAGTGACGTCTCTGCAAATTGTTACATCGAGAAGTGTCTTCTGAATCATCAAAAAGTGCATTGTGTTTACATTTCATCAACTTTTAATCTTAGATATAGCTGACTGTACTCTTGTCGTTGAGGCATTAAGTGCCAGATATATAGATTCTTGAACTGAATATTCATTCCATTAGGTAAAATTTCTAGTTTGTATACACATAAATTTATATCTATTTGACAATAGTGATAGCTAATATTTATTGTGTGTTTTCTCATTTAATCATCATAACAACTTTATGGGGGGTGTACCATTGTTACTCTCCTTTTGTAGATGAGAAAACTCTCTAAGGGGGTATTTTCCTTGCTAAGGTCACACAGCTAAGCTTGCTGGATTCCAACTCTAGCAATCTAACCCTTCTTCTGTATGTTAACAAGAGTTGAGAAAAACACCCTCTTCTCACCACGTCTAAAAAATGCAGAGTGATTATTTAGATGGGGGAAAGGGAGATGAGAGTACACTGTGAAAGCTGTATTCACACCACAAATTGGTGCATTTTGTTATTGTATTTTGGTTTCCATGTAAAATTAGCAGTTTCTCTAGCTAATTCTAGGTGTTAACTGTTTTTGAATGTGAGTATATTTGCCAGAACTTGGACTGATGCCTGTAATTGGGTTATAACTGTAATCATCCATTCAGATTATGCCTTATTTGGTTCAATAAACCTCTGTGTCTCTCAAAGAGCTATCATTTTATTAAAAAACAAAAAACTTCAGGTAAATCTATAATAGGGAATGCAAGCTATTCAATTCTTAAAAATTCAAGCAAGACCAATTGACAGGTAGAAGGACCATACTATGATAAATCAAGGATACATTGACTTTAACTTAATAGAAAATTTCCAGTTAAAGATACGAATGTAGACATGACCCTATGTAATGCATATAGGGATGACTGTGTTCGGTTATCTGCTACCCCTGATCTTCACGCAGATTTTAAAGTTGGTTGAACAGAGGCATAAGAGGGGTGAAATGTCTTGCCCAGGATCACATAGTTAGCTACTGTAAGAGCTAACTGAAAACCCAGGTTTCTGCCTACCAGGCCAGTGACATTTTGTTAATATTTGATCCCTGCTTAGGCACATTAACCCAAGTAGCCATACATGTAGGTGCACATAACATATGTTGAGACTACATACAGTGAACCTGCCCTCATGCTGAATTATGAAATATGAATTTCATATTTGCAAGTTTCTGGCAGTATTAGTTAGTATCTACTACACTGAGGTAAATGTTAAGTCCGGGAGTTCTTGGGTGCTCCATTTTTCTCTATTAATTTTGTGTGATTTGGCAACTCCGAGTTTCTTTTAGATATGTGGGGAGTTCATGTTGACCTTTTTAGTATATTAATATCATGAGGAGAAATGAAAAGTGGAGAGGGGATGTTACCAAAGGGGCCCATTAGTGCTGACCTCATGGCGTCTTTGGGATGTCTGTAAAGATATGGATGGACAAAAGCTGTTTAAATATGGTGTAGCATGCTTATTTGTACTTAATCAATAATTACAGAACCTACAGGAAAACTGAAAGAAAAACCAAGCTGCAGACCTTTGCCATAACATATGCTGTTATTTTATAGATTTTTAGAAATAGCAATCTTCATCTAAAAAACTTCCAAGTTTATTCATGCAGAGATTTTGGAATTGACATCTTGGAAAGTGACGGAAATACTTCAGTTACTGACAGCTTATTACTTGGTCATTTTGCCCACAAGGTAAGTGCCTTAGTGTGGTTGTTTTCGATGTCCGTCAGAACAGAATCATATGTGTTGGGCTTCCTGGTGACTCAGGATATGTAATTTTAAAAGCATTCTTCAGTGAATCTTGTATTTTATTGGTAAAAGTTAGAGGAGCTTTTTATTTGTAACAGTGGTGATATTGACAATAAAATTCAAATATACACATGATTTCAATGTTATGTGTCCACATAAATCATAGAAGTCACAAGTTATTTGCCTGTAATTTAGAAATATTTTCTGTAAAAATTCAGTAACCTAATTATTTAGGTTAATTTTCTGTAACCTCACAGGATTATAGAGGAGCATGATTCCATATTGTTTCTCTGCTCTGCACCAACATTTTGTTCATGGGGACCTTACACCATTTAGGGCACTCTTGAAAAGAGAGGTCCCAGTACCAGAACCAGTTACTGTTGAGTCGACCCTGTGTGTGTCAGAGTAGAGCTGTATTCCATAGGGATTTCAATGGCTGATTTTTCAGAAGTACATCTCTAGGTTTTTCTTCCCAGGTGCCTCTGGATTGACTCAAATCTCCCACCTTTTGGTTAGTAGAGAAGCACTTTAACCATTTACATCACCTAGGGACTCCAAAAAAGAGGTAGAATCTGGTAATACAAATATACTTAAAGTTTGCTGTAGCATACTAGGATTTCTTATGTAATTCCTTAATACTACCTAAATATCTGTTTCTGCATTATAAAAGTCAGACTATAGATGAGTTCTCAGCCATTGCATAGTCCAGGTACCAGAACTAGAGTACATCCCAGGTGAGAAGTACTGGTTCTCTTTAAGGTAAAGCCATGGCTTCCATTGGTCTCTGTAGGCTTCCAACCTATAGTAGGTCCCCTAGGTTCTTGTCTGTAAAAGAGTTACATGATGTGCATATTAGTAATCACATTGTCATAAACATCACATATAGAAGAGACCTATAGTACTTCTTGGAACAAAGGAAAGAGCATTCTTTTTTAGTTTCTGAATGCTTTGCCTAATTGAAATGCTAATTGTTGACATTTGTCCTTTCCCTTGGAGATTATTTACTAGCCATAGATATAAATATTAACGTTAATAAAATCATTTTCTTATTAAGGATATATTTTCCTATGCTCAATTCCAAACCTGTCTTAGTTAAATGTCTTTTGAACCATCCTTTTCAGGAGGGAAACATCTGCCAGTTTTCTGTTTTCTCTCAAAGGATTACTTCTTGAGAGAGCCGTTTCTTCTATTTAGACTGCATAGTTTTTAAGAGGAGGAGACCCAGATTTCGAATCTAAGATGCTGGTAGATCGAAGGCCCTTTAAGTTTCCAGAAACAACCTTACAGTAGATGCTAAAAACAAAATCCCATCAAGCTGAGTAACTGAACTGTACTGTTAAATTAATGTCACAACATCTTAACTGATGTTAAATAGACATCATAATTAATGGGAGAGTGACAGAAATTAAGATATAAATCACGACCAAAGAGTGCTTATTATGAGATAATTAAAAATAATCACACCCTTATTGTGTGACTCACCAGGAATGCAGTGCAGCTGAGGGTCTCTCAGTCTCTTAACAGTAAGTGCAGGATGAGC